AAGGTATCAATAAAACCTTAAAAACAATTTTTTTGGGGAGGTAGGCAGCTAGGTGGCACAATAAATACAGCACCAGCCCTAGAGTCAGGAGGACTGAGCTTGGAGCCAGAAGATCTGAGTTCAAATTTGACCTCCAACACTTATTAGCTGTGTGACCCTGGGAAAGTCATTTAACCCCGATTTCACCGATTTCACCCAAATAAATTAATTAAAATTATATTGTGGTCTCCTGAACTAGATCTATAGCATTTTAAGCAAAACAAACCACTTTCCTCACAATAGCTCCAGATGGTTTAAGTATTATTTTCCCCATTTTAAAAAGGAAGAAGTAGATAAGACTATTATGTGACTTGCCCTGGGTCCTCCAGCTAGTGCCAGAGCCAAGATTTAACTCAAGAATTCTTAGAAAACCTAAAAGATGGGTATTTTTTATCTAGGATTTTTATTTATTCCCTTGCTCCTCATCCCCACCTAGACAGCTGCATACAACCAACCTGAACAGGATTAGAAATGATCCCCAAATGCTGAGTGAACTTTTTTCCCCGTTTGATAAAGTAAAAAATCTTTACCTAAAGAAGAGCTAACTAGCACAATTGCTGCATGAGCCCATTGCAGAGAGCCAACCAAAAAAAAAAAATGGAAAGCTATTTCAGAAACCAGAAGAAAATCCAAATTTTCAAGACCCTTCCCTCTTCTCCCCACAATCCCCCAGTCCAAGATTAAAGAATTAGCATTATAAAAAACTGTCCTCAACCCACAGGTTCAGCAGGTTGCTGCCCTTTATCATAACTGAAAGCACATGTTTTAAGGCCATAACAATTATATTTATCACATGTGCCATAAATTGGTTTTTAGAAATCATCTGTATCAAATACACAAATCCACTCCTAAAAATATAAAACATATTACTTAAACTCACTTATACTATAACTCCCACCATTACTGTGAGCCAAAAAAAAAATTTGTTAATCTATTGACTAGATATAACAATCTCAACAGGCACTAGGGGAGAGGGGGAGTAGTTTTCATTTTGAGCATCATCCAAAACACTCATAACAGTGCCTGAAATTCATAGTTTTTGCCAAAATTTCAGGATTCTTTTTCTATTTCCTTCCTTTTATTTGGAATTAAATGTTTTAAATTATAAGTGGATACCAAACATTCAGCAAAATGAACATTTCAAATAGATGTCAGTTCCCAAAAGGAGTCAGTAAACTAGGAGCTTAATAAAAAGCACTTCTTATATGCCAGGTACTATGATAAGAGGTAAGAGAGAGCACTGGACTTGGAATCAGATGGCTTGGTTTCAAATCCTAGATCCGTTTTGTGCTTTCCATGTGACCTTCATAAATTACATGAGCCTCATTTGTAAAATGAGAGGAATAGATTAAGTAATTCCTAAGATTTACATCAATCCTTTGATTTTAAGATCCTACATCATGAAAAAGTTTTGCAGGACACAGACAACACCGATTAACTTTTTGGCCACAGTAACTATTAAAAGACCACCCTCTAAGTAAGATATTGCAATTTACACTGGTGGAGTACTTACACCAACAAAATCAGGAGCCCGTGATAGGCTGAATCATGCTTTGCTGTAGTGATGAGAACACAGGCCTGACAGTCCAGCGTTCAACTCCAGATCCTACTATTCTAACTGTGTGGCCTTGGGCAAATCTCTTCACCTCTGAATCTCAGTCAGTTTGCCTCTAAGATGGGGTAATACTACTACTCATAAGTTATTCTGTGAAACAAAAGAGATGCCACCAAGCCTGCAACACATATCAATTACCATCACCTAATTTAAGCAAGACCCACCTATGTTAAAGGGCCCCAACTAAAGAAAAAAGAAACCAAAGAAAAAAAAGAGTAAGAAGAAAAAAAAAACAATTCAAGGCTGCTTTAGATTTGGCAGTATAAAATGAGGACCTCAAGCCCTCACCTAAGGCGAGAAATTATACAAAGTGTCTAATTACTTCACAAACCCTATTTAATCTGATAATAAGCCAGGTACCCTTTAGCTACAAATACAAAATGACACAGGGAAACAGATAAGTAAAGAAGCATTAACCAACATTTCTCAAGTCTTACGTAACTGCAAGAACACCCAAAAACCTTTCTACTAAGATATATATTTTAAGGGTTTAGGCCCATGCCAAAAATGGTTCTTGAGTAATATGCTAGAATTCCATAGTAAGAAGGTAATAGCTAATGTTTATATAGCTCTTTAAGATTCGCAAAGCACTTCACAAATAATCTCATTTTATCCCTACAACCACTCTGGGAGCTAGGTGCTATTACTATCCCCATTTTGCAGAGGAGACTGAGGCAGACACTAAATGATTTGCCCAGGGTCACACAGCAAATAAGTGTCTGAGGAAGGATAACAGCACATTATCCATCCACTGAACCACTTTTTAAAGAATACATGCTTAGTGGCTAATATTTATGCATCCTGGTATCTTTTCAAGGTACCAAAAAAATGCAGCCTATGCACTGCATTTTCATGCTTTCAATGGGAAGCTCTTGGTCTCAGAATCACAGAATCTGAAGAGTCAGAAGGGACCTGTGACCCCATCTTGTCAATCCAGTCTGTGAACCAAAAATCCTTTCTAAGACATCCCCAACAAGTGGTCATCCAAACCCACTACCTCTCCAAAGCACACATTACATTTTTGGACAGTTCTGATTGTTAGCACATTTTCCATCTGTCTCTGCACTATTCCTAGTTCTGACCCCTAGTTCCAAGCAGACCAAGTCTAATCTCTCTTCTGCATTACCATCCTTCAAAGAGATGAAGGCAGTTATCTTGTCTTTTAAACTCCTCTCCCCTCAACCCTAGTCTTCTCTTTTGATTAAACATGTCCCAGTTCCTTCTTTCTACCTATCCTTTTCTCCAGTTCTCTCTCACCGTCCTGCCTAAGCTCCCTGGGAGACACTCTCCAGTTGATCAATGTACTTTCTAAGATGTGCCAACGCAGACCTGAATACAATACAGCAGGTCTGGCCAGGACAGAGTGCCTCCATGTCCTGAACACTGTGCCCCTCTTAATGTGGCCTAATCTGAAGTCTAGTGCGAAGTTGCACACTCCTTTCAAGTTTGAAAAGCTTTCTTTCTGGGGATAAAATGAGCCTAGAGGAGCAGTGCCAAATGAAATCTGTTCCATCTACAGGGTTGTTTTACACAAGGTGAATTCTTTCCTAAGTTTGTCTCTTGGGGTGAGTGTGGGGAAGAGAAAGGACAGTATCAGCAAAAAGGAGAAACAGAGGGTTTCTCGGTGGGTCTGGGAAATAGACAGAAGTGTCAAGTCTGCCAAACCCTAACCAGTCATATGCTAGTTACTGCCACCTGCTTCCCTCCCCACTCATTCCTGACTAGAGAACCATAAGTTTAAACTTCCCAAGATGGTTCTTCGAAGCAAGGTGTATATGCATCCCATTTTAGAAAATGAATATACAGGGCAGCTGGTGGCAAAGTGGATAGAGCACCAGCCCTGGATTCAAGAGGACCTGAGTTCAAATCTGGCCTCAGACACATAACACTTACTAGCTGTGTGACCCTGGGCAAGTCACTTAACCCCATTGCCTGACCAAAAAAACAAAAAAAGAAAAGAAAATGAATATACAATACCCAAACAAAAAACATACACATCAATTGGGTGACTATTTATTAACTATACAAATTCCTAAAGGGCTCTCGACTTTACAAATGGATTCATACTATACCCTTTAGATAAAGGATTCTTGACACCTTTTCTATGTCATGGATCTCTTTGACAGCTTGGTGAAGCCTATGGACTCCTCAGAAGAATGATTTTAAATGCATAAACCCAGATATACATATAATATATACATATATATATATATACACATACATATAGGATTATAAAGGAAACCACTGAAATGGCTATCAAAAAATTTCTTAAAGTTCACAAACCACAGGTTAAAAATCCCTGCCCTAAAACTACCTAAGATTAAATTCATCCTAACAAAAATTAGTTTATTACTTTTAATTTCCATATACTAGATGAGGTATACCTGTCCTGTGCTCTTTTAAAATCTAATTAAGCATGGGGACCAAAGGTCTTCCCAAGTCATATATTATTCTGAGTCAGAGAAAGCTGCACATATGAGGAAAAAACATTGGACTCGGGACCAGAAATCCACATATTTAATACGTTTGTTGACTGTCTACATGACTGACATAACTAAATGATTTGAAGCAAGCCATACTTAGTACCTCCACAGACCCACAATTTCAGGAGAGGATAAAGGCACCTTGTGGGGTAGTCAGGAGAAACAAAATCGATAAAACTAATCAATCAACAAGCATTTAGCACCACCAAGGTTAAGGCTCAAGAGACCAAAACAAAGAAACTCAACAGTTCCTGCCCTCAAAGAACTTACCTTCTATCAGGAAAATCAATTTGGCCACATAGGACTAGATACAAAATACAAGCATAGGAAAATGTTTTACAAGCTAAATTGTTATTACCTGTAGTGGAGGAGATTTAAAAAAAGAAAGATTTCTCTCTAAGTAGCATCCCAAGGGGGGGGGGGGGGGAGACAGGGACACTAAACTCAAAACTTGAACCATTGGAAAATACTCCCAAATTCAGGAGAGGGTCAATTAAATGCATACTTGTCTACTCAACTTCACTGGTATCCCTACACAAAAGTAAGCTAATTGTTTTGGACAGTGCTTACTTGAAATGCCTTCCTGCCCTCACAGCATCTCCACCTTTGTGCACCCCTGACTTCCATTAGTACCAACTTGCCCCTTACTGCTTTAATTTGTAGATAGCTTTAATTTGTAGATACTAGAGATTAAGCAGCACATAAGAACCTGGAAATGTCTATCAATTCCATCGCAGGCGATGTTTCGGGAAGCAGGAGCTACCAGACTCACCCCAACCCCAGCTCGTTTCATCAGGTCCCAAGTGTGAAAGAGGCAGAAAGAAGCTGACAAGTCCGACCCCAGAAAGGGCTCCTTTCCTTACCTGCACAGGTCGGCAAAGGCCTGGAAATTGAGCTTCTTGATCTTCTTCTCACTCAGCCAGTAACCAACTCTTTTTCCCTTCAAAAAGGTCTGCATCGTCGTCCTTCGATGGGGGTGCTGCAGAGAAGGTGGGTGGGGGGTAGCGTGCCAAGGCAGACAAGGCTTCGTCCCCAAAATTCACACAGCCACGACCTCCACTCGCACCGGGACTCGGAGCAAAAAGAATCCTGGAGGGAATAAAGACAATAATAAAATCAGGAGAGCGAAATTCACTTGCAGTAGACTCCGAGGGACGTACAGCATCAGCTGTCGTCTCGCTCCCACGCCCCACACACACCACACTCCCCCGGCTGGTGCTGGTGCTGGTGCTGGTGTTGGTGCTGCAGGGCTGCCGAGGCTGCTGGGGATCTCCCTCCAGGCAACTTTCAAGTGTCTATTTGCCCGTCCAGGCCCCGGAGTGGAAAGGACTGGCAGAGAGCTGGGATGGGGAGGGGGGGGCGGAGAGAGGAGGAGGAGGAGCATGGGGTGGAGATGAAGGAAAAGGGGGAAGGTTTTAAAAAAAAAAAGGAAGCTTTACCTTCCTGAGCACCCACACTGAAAGAGCTAGAGAAGCAGCCCCCGGCCCTGCACGCCAGGAGCCTCCTGCTCTGCTTACAGAACACCACCCCCCGGGCGGCGGCGGAGGCGGCGGCACTGGAGGAAGAGAAGGCGGCGGCACAGCCTCAGCCCCCGAGCTGGAGCCGCGCTCCCGCCCCCCAAATCCTCCACCCCCTTTTTTTTTCTCCCCTCCAGCTCTCTCGGTCTCCCCACCCTCCCCGCCCCCTCGCTTTATCCCGCCCAGGGCAGCACGTTCGTTCCCTTGCTCTAGCTGGAGCGTAGCGGGGGAGGAGGGAGTGAAGGCGCCGAAGGAGAAAGGAGAGTTCGAATCCCCCTCACCCCCACCCAGGACCCCCCGGGGAGTTCGGACCCGGCGTGAGCTGAGGCCCACGCCTCCCGGCCCCCAGCCGAGCCCGCAGCGGCGGCCAGCCAGCAGCGCGAGCCTCCCGCCTGGTTCTCCTTTAGCACGCGCCCCCCAAGCTCGCAGGCTGCCTTCCCCGGCACTGCCACCGCCCTTTCCCTTCCTACCTCCTCCTCCTCCTCCTCCTCCAGGCCGCCGCTGGGAGCCCGCTATTCTCAGCAGCCGCCTCCGTGGCCACTTCCTCCTCCTACCGCCGCCGCTTCTTGCAACACCCCCCCCTCCACCCGCCGGTACTAGGAGTGGGGGGGGGCCCGGGCTGACACACCCTCCCGCTGTGGGAGTGGAGGGGTCCGCGGCCCTGCCCTCCGGCCCTCCGCCGACGGCCGGGCCACTTCCTCCGGGGAATTCAAGGGGTGTTCAGGGCTGCCCCAGGGCCACCCGGCCGCCGGCGCGCGCGCCTTACACCCCTCCCCCCCTGCCCCCCGTCCGCTGGCCGGGCCACCTGGACCCCGAGCCGGCAGGGGGCAGTACGGCGCGGCCAGAGCCTTAAAGGGGCCGGCGCCCTTTTTTCTTCCCCTCCCCCTCCCCCTGGCTTTTGAGCTTTGGGAGACGAGAAAGGGAGGCCAGAGGTCATTCCAGTCACAGGAAGGTGGGGAGGGATTTAAGGGGTCAAAAGGGGATGTTCTGGAAGCTCTCTTCCCCCACCTTTTGCAAATGGAAGACTGGGCCAAAGGTTAAAAGTTACAACTGCTTTTACCCCCAACAGAGCTGCGTTGATTCACACCCAGCCCAGCAGGCTGATATTGACCTCAAAACTCTCCTGGTTCTGGAAAAGCTAATATCCAGGCAACAGAGCGAAGTTTTGTTACTGTTATCATCAGATCGACCTTGGGCAAGTCACTTAACCCCTGTGTGCCTCAGTTTCCTCATCTGTAAAATGGGGCTAATAGCATCTACCTGCAGGGTTGTTGTGAGCATCAAATGAGATAAAAATTGTAAAGCAATAGTGCCTGGCACATATAATGGCACTATATAAATGTTACCTATTGTTATAATTAAATGTTTATTGCTGGCACAGCTATGGGGCTGGGAGGAGATAAAAGCTCCTGCCCTCAAGGACCTTTTTATATAGTTAGGGACACATAAACATGCAAAAATTTATTATTCATAAAAACGTGTATAGTGTTTTATGGTTTTCAAAGGCTTTAAATGCATTTATCTCATTTTATTCATATGAGACTTGTGAATTGATATGAGCAATATCCACATTTTAACGGTGAGGAAAAAGGATCAGCGAGGCTGTGACTTTCTTGAGATCACAAACCAAATGAGTTGCTGGACCTAGATTCAAAATACATTTTAAAGGTTGAAGACAATAGAAGAGAAGCCGGGAGGAATTCTCTAAACTAAGTTGGAGATCTATGTTTCCATCTTTAAGCTCTTAGGCTGCAGTCCTGCCTCATCAACTGCCTTCTTCCAGACATTTCAAATAAAATGTCCCAAAACCGTTTCAAACTCAACATCTCCAAAATAGAATCTGTTGTCTTTCTTCCAAAATCTGTCATTCTTCTGAAATTAGCTATTTCTGTCAAGGGTATCACTTGTTGCAGTCACCAGGTTCCCTTATTCTCCCTCAAACTACATATCCACTCAGTTGCCAAATCTTGCTGTTTCTGACCCCAAAACAATTCATTATCTTTCTCTTTACTAACAAAGCCACAGTCTTAATTCAGACCCTCATTACCTCTAGCCAAAATTTCTGCAAGGGACTACTAATTAGACCCCCTGTCTCAGGTCTCTCCCCTTCCTCCTACCTTCAGTTCTTTGTCCATACTACTGCCAAAGTGATTTATAAGCACAGGTGTCACTAGGGTCACTAGTTGAAAGAGTACTAGGTTAGGATTCAGAAGATCTGTGATTGAATGTGCTGTTCTATTATTCACTAGCTGTGTGACTGAGTAACTTAAACCTGCATTTATTAAGCATTTACTATGTGCAATGCACTAACCTCTTCCCTGAGGAGCTTACATTCTCCTGGGGAGTTACAATCACCAGTTAGGTAATTACAACAAGAGAATTCGAGGACAGAAAATAGTACTAATCATTTGAGGAAAAGGAGATTAGGGAAGACCTAAAGTAGCTGGTGCCTAGCTAACCCTTAAGGGAAGATAAGGAAAAAGAGAATTCTCAAAATGGGAAAGTTTGCTTAGATGTGTGGAATCAGGCTATGAAATGTCTATGAAATTCCATGTATATTTCAGGTTCAGTTTAGCCAGGATATAGCATATAGAAAGGGGAGTGATGTGAAATAAGATTGGAAAAGTATACTGAAACCAGTTTGCAGAGAGCCCTAAAGGTCATGCTGAGGAATTTGTGTTTTATTCTAGGAGTTATAAGGAGCCACTAATAGTTCTTAATCCAGAGAATGGCAGGAAGATTATTTTGGCAGCAATGTAAAAGATGATGTGGAGAGTAGAGAGTAGAAATGTGGAGGCTATTTCAGAAGTCTTGTCAAAAGCTGATGAGCACTTTAACCAGCACGATGACCGTGTGAGTGAAAAGAAGGGACAGATAGGAGAGAAATGTCAGGTAATGACTAGGGGGACAGGAGGGTGAAAGAGAAGATAAAGTCAAAGATGGAGTCCAAGCTGATAAGCATGGATCACTGGAAGGTCAGTAGTACCCTCCTTAGACAAAGGCCAATGTGGAAGAGGAGTGGGTCCCTCGTCTTAGTACCACAGCCATTACCCCTGCTCTGCCTATACCCTCCTCCCTTTTCAATCTTGGTAACCCAGTTAAACTCCACCCTGTCCTCTACTCTTAAATTCCTTATTTTCTTGTCCCAATAACTTTCATACGTTGCCAGACCTCAGTCCTGTGATGTTCCTGTCCTTTACCCCCTTTGCACCTGCTCATTCAAAGACATAATTTCACCTCTGAAGAAAAACACCTACTAGAGCACCAGCCCTGGAGTCAGGAGGACCTGAATTCAAATCCAGCCTCAGACACATGACACTTACTAGCTGTGTGACCCTGGGCAAGTCATTTGACCCCATCGCCTAGCCAAAAAGAAAGAAAGAAAATGAAAAAGAAAAACACCTACCAAAGGCTCAAATTTCTATGAGCCCCCTACCATATCATTCCCCCCCCCAACCTGTTTGGTTCCTAATTGGAAGGAAAAGTTCTACCTAAAGTTAGTGGTTTGTTTGATAAGAATTAAAACATTATATTGACTGTAATGGGCATATCTAATAGTCTGTTCGTGGCCAAATGGTCAACTTAGAAATTGGCTGTGTGATATGAAGGCAACCACACTTTAATCTTTCTGGGACTCCATTTCTTTGTAAAATAGGATATAATTTTATTTGTCCAAAGTTATACTACAATTTTTTTGGTAAGGAAAATGTGACATAATAGATAGTAAACCCTAAGAGCATTGTACTAACTTTCTAATCCCATGTGCTACTTACTCTATCACTGTGACTTTGGAGACATGCTCTCAATTTTCTGTGCTTTTGCAAGACCTATATAGAGCTAAAAGCAACTTTACAGGCCATGTAGCCCAAACTCTTCATTTTACAGATAGGAAATAGGCCCAGGGGAAAGTGAAGTGATTTGTTCAAGTTCACAGATGGTCATATGTAACAGGCCTATGAACTTAGGTCCCATAAACTCCAAGTTCGGTACTAGACGTTATCTATAAAAAGAAGAACTCAGACTAGATCAATGATTGCTAAGCTTTTTGGTCTCTGGACTCCTTTACATTCTTAAAAATAAAATGAAGATCCTCAAAGAGCTTTTGTTTTTGTGAATTGTATCTATCAATATTTACTATATTAAAAGTTAAAACATCATTTGAAAAATATTAAATGAATTCATTTTAAAATAATAGAAACCCATTATATGTTGAGATAAATAACATATTTAATGAAAAATAGCTATATTTTCCAAAGCAAAAAAATTTAGTGAGAAGAGTGGCATTCTTTTATATACTTTTGCAAATCTTTTAATGTCAGGCTAAGACAACTGCATTCTCCTATCTGCTTCTGCATTCAATCTGTGGCAAACTGTTGTTTTAGTTGAAGTATATATTAAGAAAACCCAGCCTTACACAGATATATAGTTGGAAAAGGGAGGAGGATTTTAATAGGCAAATAATTCCTTATTATTTTGAAAACAGTTTTGACCTGAAAAGGTATCAGGGACCTCCCACAGGATCAAGCACAGCCCTTTGAGAACCACTGGAGTAAATTATTTCTATGGTCCCTTCTCATTCCAAATCTATGATCCTGGGTCAGATATCATGATATTCATAATAATTTTGATTTCTGAAATGCTTTAAGGTTTACAACAAGAAAGATTTGTTAAGCACCTACTAAGTGCAAGGCACCATGCTAGGCACTGGTAATACAAGGGGAAAAAAATGGAACAATCCTGGCTCTCAAGGAGCTTCCATTCTAAGAAATGCTGACCTTCCAACAAGTCAGTAATCTTGTGAGTTGGGTAGGTCCCACCACTAACAGGGTGTCCCAGCTAGA